TGGGGGGGGGGGGGGGGTGGAGAAAGGTATGGAAAAGGCGCGTTAAGGGTCGGTCAGGCTTTGGGGTTGGAATCGGGTCAGGACAGGGACAACAGATCAGGTAAGACCTGAGGTCTAAAAATACTGCATGTATGTCAGCGGAGACCCCCCCCATGGGATGTGTATTGGAGGTTTCGATTCGCTCAGCGTCGGCGGCAAAGAGACAAGCTCAATACCATCGCTTTCGTGCTGGTGCTTCCACATTCACCTACTACTTTCTGTTTTTCAACGTAGCACTCGAGGATCGAAACCGCGACCGCGGCAAAAGGTGGGATTCTATTCGCATAAGGCATTGCTTGCATGGAAGGGTACCCAAAACAAGCGGGGGTTCCGCAGGATCAGCTGATCCAGGCGGTTTTGGGGGGTGGGGGGTTTCACCTGGCGTTCTCCGCTTCCATGCGACTCAAGCTCTCCTGCATCTCCGTAGATGCCTGCGATGAGCCGCGCCGTTGATGGTCTTTCTCCTGCTCCGCACCCCAGAAAGTCGACGACATCGACCGAGCTTGGGAAGTGACCACCACCTACGAGCACAACACACAATCATGTGCATACGTGCCACCAATGCGAATAGCATCGTCGCGGTTGCGGCAGCAGCGCCCATCATCGAGCGATGATATATCACACCGCACGAAGCCAAGATGGCAGCAGCAGCAGCAGCAGAGGCAGTGGCGTGAACAAGGGACGGCGACCACGCGAGACGTTGAAATATGCAATATCCAAGAACATCCTCGATAACACTCCCAAGAACGTTTCTCAAACGGCATGCTCATGCTCTCATCTCCCGTCATCCCCCTGCCAACGGCAACACGACCACCAAAAAAAGAAAAAATCGCTGACGACACACACCACGAAGACACTCCCTGCCCCCACTCGATCCGAGCCGCAACGGTCGCCACCAACTCACCGGCGCGCTGCTGTCGTCGGACGAAGAGGATTCGTCGTCGTCATCCAGACCACCACCTTCACCATCGCCGTCCTCACCACCGCTATCGCTGCCTCCGTCGCCGCGGGCCCCCTCTTCCAGCAACGTGTCGACGTCGACCGCATCGCCTGCGAAAGTCGCGAACTTGCTTCCGTCCAAGATGGTGGTGCTGTGGGGAAAATGAAGAACCAAATGCGCGGGAACGAAAAATTGGTCGAGCTGTCAAATGATGCGGGGGGGTAAATTTGCGCCCACGTGCGTGCCCGGAGCCGAAAAACAGACGCAGATCATCGTGCGCAATCTGGTTTCGGTACCGCTGCTCATGAAGACAAATCGGCTATGCTAGAACACCGTCCAGGGCCGCAGCGTGAGTCCTTGTGATGGAGAAGTGGAATTGGAAGCGAGAGGGGTAGGAGACGGTCAATGGAGAAGTTCCAAAGAGCGTCCGTTCTCCCCGTGCGAAACCGTTGCCCGGAATAGTACAACAGCCACAACAACAACAAACGAACAGCAACAACTACAACAATAGGACAACAATCATACAACAACGGCAACAGCAACCGAATAAAATACACATCCGCCGAAGACCCTCCCGCGTCACCTGGCGCCATCCTTGCCACCAGCCCGGGCCTTGGGGCTGGCCTTCCCGCTCCTGCTTCCGGCCATGTCGCCAACGGCACCGCCGCTAGCCGCGCCCTCCCCACCATCTCCGTAGGACCTACCACTCGAAGACAGAGAGGCAGCCGGCCCTGCCCCTCCCCCTAACTCCCGAGTTAACCTCGATGCTCCTCCTCCTACTCCTCCTACCTCCCCAATGGTCCTGATGCTAGATGCTCCTGTTGTCTCCAAAATCGACTTGACGCGAGATGACAACGGGCTTGCCGACCCCCCTCTCCCGTCTTCCGCCCCGCCCCGGCCTCCTCCGTCTCTGTGTGACCTCCGGCTGAACGACAGCGAATCGGAGACGGCGCGTGATGAGGAAGACAAGGCCGGCTTGTTGTTCGCGGAATCGGCGCCTGGAATATGGGCCGCCATGTAGCTCTGGACGATAAACCCAAGCATCACCTGGGGGGGTACCCATGTTTTGTAGCGGGTAGACCATTGACCACGCGTCCTCAAGAGGAAGGAGCATTGGGGGGGGGTTTCTACGGTCACGCACCGGCGACAGGTGATCCTGACTAGCTACTGGCTCAACCCATTTTTTTTAGGAGAAAAGCCCATGCGTGTGGTACGGTAAGCCCGGGGGGGCCCCCCCCCCACCGGTGGTGGTATTTCCAAGAATACCTTTCCCACCCCCCCCCCCCCCGCAAAAAAGACAAATATTCACATTGATTCCCCAAAACCAACAATTCAACTTAATGATGCATGATCGAGTACGCTCACTCGCTATTCCCATGTTACCGTCCGGGTGTGGCGTGTGGTGGTAAGGGGGTTGCTTCGAGTAACACACACTACCAGGAGCTAACTTCAAGTACGGTGCGTGTGCCCCTTCCCTCAACGCCTACCAAGCTGGCACACTCGCTCCTCGACAGCATGACAGTCTTCTTTCATCGTGCTGCTGCTTCCCTTGAACAACTGTAGGTGACACAAGGTACCACGCCCCCAGGACATATTTTGAAAGCTCGACTACTCCACGACGAAGACGATGCCGCAACACAATCAATCTTGTACGTTTTCGGAAAGGCTCTTGAAGAGACGGTTCCACAGCACCCATTGTTGGCACCGCCTGTCACTGTTGTTGCGGCCGAGTTACCGAGTTCCGAAGTATTCTGACCGGGCGCGTGTTGTATCTTACCCCACTTACCGCACCTACGGCAGTCATGAAGTAGACGATGGGAATCATGAAATAGACAACCGTCCCTGATTCGGTCATTTGTGTTGTGCTGCACCGAAAAATTATGTTTGTCTCACCGGCATGACGAAGTAGAACGTGAGCACCTTCAGATGGGATAGAAAACGAGAACGAGGGACAGGGGGGCACGCGGATTGTGGCGTAGGGGGAAGGGTCGACGAGGAGGGGGCCAGTTAGTGACCTTGCAATTGGCGAAAAAACACAATAAAAGTATCAAACTAACCCGCTCTGTTTTCGAGCCGGGAAGGGTCGACGACGACGGGGTCAGTCAATGACCTTACAATCAGCCGAACAAAAAGCATCCAACCAACCCGCTTTGTTTTCGAGTCTCAAAAGCGACGAACCACGGCATCAACGCTTCTATAAATAGACGAAAGTCATGGAAATCAAGGCTATGTGTGATGGTTGGTGGTGATGTTGGCTCGATATGTTGTGGCAAATGTGGCTTGTGTCAACTTTGCTTGTGTGTGTGTGCGAACACAGCAAGCAGCAGGCAACAGCAATGCTGCTGACACAACAAGCTCTACTCTTGTCGTGCAGAGGTGGAGCAACTGGTGGTTAAACTAGTGTATGTGAAGACCTTTGATGATGTTGTAACTTGTTTTATTATTAATCGCGAGCCTTGCTCAGACTACAGCGTACTTGTTGAGATTGTTTGGAGAGGGGGGAAAGTTGGGAGTGAACTCGGTGGGTGAGCTCGTGTCCTCTCTGCCTGTGTCAAAAACCCGTCGGTACCTACCGACGCGCACGCCCACTCAACGACCGGTTCGGCAACGTTCCGGGACCCGAGTACCGTTCTTACGTAACTCAAATACCATTCTTAGTAACCGCAACCATAACGGTCCTGGAGTAGTTCCATGAACCATTCCACGTAATAGACAAAAGGCTGTTCCTGGGAATGTTCCGGAGAACCGGTCCAGGAGCTCAATACTTTCTTAGAATATTGCTCGGGTGATTGTTCACTTGAGCGGAACAAACTTTCTGCATATGCAATACGAACAATACACATAGTACCAAACCATCCATCATTGCATACAGCAACTGAAAGCAGTAACTAGCTTGGTATCCAATAGCATGCTGCGCTATATTTCAACAGAAAGATCCCAGATCGCCGACGATCACAGCTCGATCGCTCCAGGACCAAGAGGGTGCTGACGAAGACCGGTTGGCAGACCTAACGGAGTCTGCTCTCGAGAAGATCTCTCCAAAACCAACCCTTTCCGGAGGCGATGCTGCCCTCTCGGTGTTGGAGCAATCGAGCTGTCAACATCTATCTAGGGGGGTGGGGGTGTACTAGTACCGTATACGACACAAGATAACACACCCCCTGGACCGATTTTCAAAGCTTGATTTATCAACAGCAGAAAGAGTCGCGGCGCCGAAAATGGCGGCGTTAAAGCCGTCTGTTGCACATCTCTCCGAAAACGCATCATTTCGTTTTTGCATCCCCTTTGTCATGGCGTAATCGAGCTTTGAAAATCGGACCAGGGTGTGTGTTATCTTGTGTCGTATACGGTAGTCGTACATGCCGTATTTAGTCGTTAGACCGTAGACCTCGCATCCCTACAAAGCCGGGACGGAGCACGCCGGGTTCTCACCGGACCAGGCTCTCACATCACCAAGCGCGACCCGCCGTGAGGTATTCGGCGAGTCGCATGAAGGGTGCGCTGCATCCTGCTA